GTCATGACCCATCTAATAAATTTATTATAACCGGGTTGGTTTCGGGTCATTCGGGTCAACCCGATCGGAGCACTATACGATAGTATAAATGCAAACCTGTGAATCGTGTTGTGACCTAGGAGTGACTTTATAACTCGGCATCAATTTATTACAGGGCCACAGACATAAACTTAGAAACGATAATGCAGTTAATGTATTCTCTCAAAAGAAATCTATAACAGTATTTAAAATACCAGTGTAAAAAAATCCAACTTTCGAGATCAAGTGTAACTAGGGATCTTAGCACAGTGGTTATTGGCATGCTATTGTCTCAAAAATAGGACGACATACCTTAATTATAATTTATTAAATATAAATTTATTGGATACGTATCACTTCACCGACACTCATTTTGTAGAAATAACATTTCATTACCATGTTTATTTCACCGAAGCTCATTTCACAAGCAAGCTTTTTTTATAAATTCCATTATCGATGAAATGTCTACGAAAGGAAGTGAATTTATTTTGGTATAATTTGATTGGTTAAAAATAATTTTTTAAAAAAATTTTTTAGGCGTGCCAGGTTCCCTAAGTGTAACGTGAAAAAAGTTCAAGAAACTAAACTGCCTTCTGCGTATTAACAAAAAAATTTCCTTACACAATTTTGGCATAATTGTAATTTTTTGAAAAACCTAACCTACTTGCATGACGAACAAAGATTAAATAATATAATTAATTAGTAAATTCCTATTTGTCACATGCAATGATTCATCACACCCATATGGCTAATGGAGATTATTTCTGATCACTATCAGTTATACCCTGGGCACTATGCGCATAAACGAAAATGAAATTTCCGCTTATACCCAACTAGAGATGCAGACATTATGCCGTAACTTGTCGTAACTATAATGAGTTTACGGCAAAAAATGGCGCAACTCATTATAGTTACGACAAGTTACGACAAATTACGGCATTATGACTGTATATTTATACCCAACTGCTCAGGATATAACTATTGCTTATTAATTGGTTACGACAACAATTATATAATCAATTATAATCGATTATACCGTATTCTACCGTAAATAAGCACCACACCCTCTACCCCATTTTTTTAAATGTCAGATTAACGGACATTGCAATGAGATCTTTAGCCAAGTTATTTCCGCTAATCTGGCATTTAAAAAAATGGGGTAGAGGGTGTGGTGCTTATTTACGGTAGAATACGGTAATTATAATTGCGTAATAATTGAGTTGCAATCAATTTTTCGGTACCCCTGGGTTCAAATAAGCTAGAAATCATTACGCAAAATATAGTCAACTTTTAATTACTAAGAAAGTCATTTCGTAATTACGGAATGAAAAGTGCATATTAATTTATTACGTACGCACATATATTAAACTTTTAATTAATTTTATTATGCTATCTAATTCATGCAACGCAATCACGTTACATGACCCGAACCCCAGCGCTACGAATTACCGGGGTACTATCGAACGTGCACACAATATATGAGTACAGTCAAAGGAAAACCATAAAAAAATACCGCTGACGTCTTTTGTAAATATAATATATTACGTATAAATAATGTTAAATTGAAAGATTATATAGTTTAAATTGATTACTAAACAATTCGTATATTAAGAAATACGTAACGCATATAAATACTCTATAAAATGGACGTCAGCGGTATTTTTTCTAGCATATTGTAATTGTTGGCAGCGAAGACCAAATTTTTAAAATTCGCTAGGGTTATGGTCGAAGTTAGAGGATAGTTTATATAGTAAAATTTTGTTAGAGCACGAAAGGTGGTTTCCTATGCTGATTTTTTAAGCTATGAGCTATTTTTGGCAGAACTAGCGTTTGTTTGGAATCTTCATGATCGTGTTACGTTACATCCATATGAGCGCATTTATGGTTTCTTAAAAAAAATTACAGATTAAAAATTATTTAATCCTAGTTAAAAAAAACATAATATCAATTCCATAAATGTGCTCATGCTAATCTTGAAATCTGATTCGTAGTTCATGAGATCTGCGCCACCAACCTTGTACACATTTACGATATGCTTTTTTCTATGGGCGATACTAGACTCAATCTATTTGATTTCATAGTGACTACGTCCGGTACAAATTATAATTGAAATCCCGATGACAGGTTTTCCCTTGACGGCACTCATATAGTTAGCAAAGCAAAAAAATAATAATGAAGGCTTATACAAAGGAAAAATTATTAGCAAAATTTTCGCTATAGATTAGCAGGATTGAACATTTAGATAAATTAGTAAGAAAAAAAGGGTGTTTATTTTCACAATACGTACAATAATAATGTGTTAAAATTTTGTTTCCGTGTAACAGTAATAGATTTTCAGAGGTTACATATTCAACCGTTTTAACCCGAGTTGTAAAATTTTGACCCGGTTGAACCGTTTTGACACGAGTGACCCGGTTTACTATAATCCGATTCTAAACTCTAAAACATGTATCTAACAGTATAGTGTTTTTGTTCTCCTTCAACAGTTGGCATTAATGGTTGAGGATCTGCGACATAAATCAAAAGAATTGGTTATGTTGAGTTTCTATGCATGAAATGTTATAATTCTGATTTTAGAGAATATACTAACTTTCCGTAATTAGATCATGAGAACTTGGTACTGATTTTATGGAAAATCTTAATCGCATATATTCTGAACTTAGTGGGTCGTCTTTATCCAATGAAGCTTCTAATATGAAATGATCTAAGAGAAGTTTACATATTTCTATATTCATTAAAAGAAATATTGTTCAAAACTTAAATTAGAAAAGCATCTTTGATAATATGTATATATATATAATATCTTGAATCCCAATGTAATATAATGAAAAAAATTACCTTCGATATCCTCAATGTTACATAAAAACACGGTATACCATGGTATGCTTCCTTTACTTTCAGGAAAATTTTCTTTATGCAACAATTTTGATGCAAGAAGTATTGATGCAGCGGCTAAAGCATTTGGCGGAAATCTTAGACAAAGTGTTGTTTTATAACTAGAATTAAAGAAATAGTTTAAATGGTATGGATATCAAGTTCGTAAGATGAAAACAAGAAGAGAATAGATCATGCATATTTTTACCACTCATTAAGAATGTTATACGCTTTAACCGCTAGGAATTTATCACCTATATTCACATAAAAATTTAGACATTAATTCATAGGGCACAATTAACCATATACATATAGCCAAAGCACAAGTTCTTACCTTTTAATTTCTTTACAAATTTCATTAGCAATTGGTGAGGTGGCCAAATGTGAAAATCAAAACAAATCGTCTCTACGACTAAACGCTCAATTTGAATTACTCGACGTCTTTGTTCTTCAAACATCTACCATAATCAAACATAAATATTAATAACCAAATAAATGTTATCGGTTAAAGGCTGATTGTTAAGTCTTAAATGATACCTGATTTTCGCCATTAACATCAGTAAGTTCAGGATGTCGAACTTTATAAGCTTCTACCAAAATATCTCGAAGCTTTTTATAGGTTTCTTCAATCTTTGTTGCAACAAACAAGCACGTTATACTTAAATCCTATTTCAAATTAATCAAAAGTTTAGATATCGTCAAGAAATATTCAATTAAACACTCAAAAACATCAGATAGCTTTATAGTATTGGATATTCACAGATTTTTGATTTGCCGTAGAAAAATCTTTCTCCGGATGAAATAAGTAAAATCGATTAAACAGTATTTGGGCGGTAGTAATAGTATTTTGTGGACTACAAAACCAAGTGAAAAGAAAGAAAAATTCCACATAATTTATCAATATAGTCTATAATAATTTTATTGTTTACTTAAACACTCTTTATTGAATTAATAAAATGAAATTACAATCCCAATTTATTCCCAACAGCAACAATAAAACTACACCATTGTGCACGTGATTTGTTCTCTTTAGAATTCGAAAGTCCTCGTATCTGTTGGCTCTGGCTAATTTCAGCTAAAGTAAAGTACGACCTCGCCTTACGTTCAAGCACAAAACATTGTTCCATTACACCTTCTGTCGGACTTGAATTTGCTGTTACGCTATTCATATCTGCAGGTGAATTAGTATTCGAAGACATTATGGTGCTAGTATCTTTGGTAAATAACGTTGACAGATTTGAAGATATATTTGAGGACATTAGTAAAAGTATGTGGAATCGTTAATTTTTTTAAAGTGACAATCGGAAAAACCAAAATCGATCTAAAAAGAAAGTAAAATGATGTCTAGCTGATTAACCATGAGATAGGGTTGCGATTGGTTAGTCAGATAAGTACATACTTATCTGAATTACAAATAGTGATGTGAGTTGGTACGTAGGTATCTACCACTTGTATATACCGGTAGATACCGGTAGATACCGGTACCAGTAGTAGGGATCCTCATTTTCTGCTATGATGGACCCCAAATTCTGCCTGCTTTACAAATCAGTTTATGCGAATTATGCAATAAAAATTTTTGCAAATTATGCATTTCTTATATCTTAAAACCAGTTTTAACACATGCTTTTGCGATATGATCTGATTAATGCTATCCCTACGTTATCCAATAAGTAGATATTCAATCATCTTTGTTCTTTAGACCCGATGGGCAATTAGAGCGAAATAACGATAATCTTCGCACTACATCATGTGATGTTTTTGGGCGTGTATTTATAATCGGCCATGGGTATATTAAATTTATATACTCTGGCCAAATTAATATCTCAAAACTTCAATAATAAATGGAAAATTCACCGCTTTTACCGATTAGAGAGAGTGATACAAATATCTCTGGTCGCAAATTTTACAACACTCTAGTACTTGGAATCCTTTGTGCTTGTATTGCATCATTTGTTATACAGACAGTACGTTGTTCATTTGTGAAGTTCTAACATACTCAAGAATTATATTTAATGCAATTTTTTGAATAGGAATTGGTGCAATCAATACAAACTGAGAAGAAGTTTAATAAACCATACTTTATATTGTAAGTTACATAAACATAGAATTCTTCTTAATTATTTGTTCTAATTAATATTTCAAATAAAATATTTCAAATCAGATGGGTTGTACACAGCTGCTGGGTGATCATGATACCACTTCAGTTCACGTTTCGGCCGAATTTTCAGGAATACATGACAGAATTTATTGAAATTGGCAGTGAACTAGTTAGTAGAGTCAGATCAATACGTCAAGTAGATTACATAGATACGGAAAACGAAGAAGGCAGTGATGTACAAGTATTTTTATCTGTACCTCACATGTATCTCTTCGCATATCTTTTCAAAATCATCTCTTTCTTTGCAATTGTCCTTTGCATTGTAGGATATGCTTGGTATGTAGCTGTAAACTATACTACCATGGCCAATCTAACGGCAATATACAACACTAGCTGTTTTTGGGCATACGTTTTCTCAGTATTTTTACTGGGTGAATCAATAAATATAGGAAAAGTTTGCTCCGTATTTTTAAGCATTGCAGGTGTTATAATCATGACGATGAATCAAAAGGATCAAACACCGAAACATGATATCGGTGGGCACTCTGAGGTGGGTGACAATGGCATCATTTTTACAGGAGATTTAGTTGCTTTGTTTGGTGCAGTCACTTATGGGTTATATGAGGTGCTATATAAGAAGTATGGAAGTCCGCCAACACCGTCCATTTTATTTTCAAACACTATCACAGGTTTAATTGGTATATTCACCTTAATTTTTCTATGGGTGCCAATTCCCATATTACACTATATGGAAATAGAAGAGTTTTGTCTTCCAGATATGAAGACTTTTGGTTACATTCTATTCATGGCTTTGTTCGGGGTTGTTTTCAATGCATGTTTTATGGTAGTAATTGCTTTAACATCACCTATATTTGCCGCTATTGGGATAATGCTGACCATTCCTATAGTAGCATTTGTAGATGCGTTGGTAATTAATTCCCCGTTAAATGCGAGTACAATTGTTGGTGGTTTGTGCATATTAATATCATTTGTTTTATTAAGCTGGAAAAGTATCAGAGATGTGGCAGAAAAACGTAGATCGGAGTAGAGATATTCAGTTTTTTACTTGATATAGGGTGTTTAATAACATAGAAATGATAGCAGGGATGCTGGTTTATATTATGTCATATTGTACTACTGGCATAACCCTGGTATTAACAAAGTCATCTATAATAATTTAGATATTCTTTAAGACAATGAGCGGTCAAAATTACTGTTTCATTGCTATAAATTAATTTTTTTTTAAAAAATAAATAAATAAGGGCATCATTTTTTTTTGGTGCATTCTGCACTCGGTGCACCTCTTCAATATCTCAATATTCTACTATGATAACCCTTGTCATATAACATAATAAAAATGCTCTTCCAAACCCTAACCCTAATTCTAATTTTAATTCTTATTTCTATTTATAGGGTGCACTAAGTAACACCCCGCACTAAATAAAATTCAATAAATGAGTATTTTTAGTTGTATACGGGTACATCTATAATTCTTCAAGCTTGGTCAATATGCCAGTCATCTTATATAATACTTATGTTTCTTATATTAATGTAGTTTTGAAAAAATATTTCTGCTTATTATTATTTAATAGTAACACATAATGATGAGTATGAATTTAAGAGTTCAAGCTTATGTTTTAGATGCAAAAAAAAGCATAATAAAGAGAAGATAATTGGCCAATGCATAAAGTGTTTTTACTATATTAAATGCTGGTCTTTTTTGTATAAAAAAAAATCAAAGTAAGTGCATTCTTTAAGAATTTTTCTAAAAAAAATATCTGATATAAATATAAGTATAATTAATAAGAATGCTTTATTAGTTAAATTACAAATACAGTCATTTCTTTTTATAGTTACCTCCTTTAAATCACAACCTCAATATAATTACTTTTTTTATCAACCTTTTTTATATTATTTATACCTTTATATATGCACAATTGCCTTATAGTCATTATCATATTTTTTTGTTAACTAATTATATAGCATTTTTATAAAATTATTTTTTATAAAATTATACTATAAATATAACAAATTAGGTAAACTTTATTTTATTTTACTTTTTATTCTATTTTATAGCATAATAGTTCAAATACAACTTTGATTTTTGTAAATTAGTCAGATCTAGTACGTATTTGTATATATATATGCATGCATATAATAGTTAAAAGTATTATAACTAATAACTTATTGTTATAAGTAATAGTCTTCTTAATTTTACATTATAATAATAATACAGTATAAAGATTTTTTTATAGATATATATAGTGTTTAAGAAGAAAATATAGTTTTTGTTAAACTTTGTCAAGATACTATACTTTTTTCTAAGTCAGTTTAAAAAACTTAATGCAATAGTAATAATTTTACTTAATTGTTTGAAAAAAACTAAAGTTTGCTTATAGAAATTACCTTAAAAGAAAGTATCAATATAGTTTATAATTAAAAATCATTTATTAATATAATTATAAGAAAGTTTATTTTTAGGTTTTTGTTTTTAAAGAATACTAAATATATATTTATAATATTAAAAAAAAAAAAGTATTTGTTATTTAATTTAACTTGAAGAATTTAGTACAATTTATTTTTTTATTTTTATTTTTGCTTTCACTAAGGTTGTAATTATTGGTAACTACTGCCTTTATTGTATTTTTAATTATAGTTACATAACTTGTATAAGGTAAGTATACAACTAGCTACTCTTACAACTTTTGGTTGTCTAATTTAAGTAGTCTACTCATATAGCAGGTTCTATACTAGCTGCTATACCTGCAATCTACTAGAAAATTACCTATTTTAAACACTTTGATTCTTATATTATACTGACAAATAGTGCACAAGTTTTTGTACACCTATATTAAATGCTGTCTAACCTAAACTTGACCTTCCTTTTTGTACATTTGTTAAGTCATTACACATTTCAGAGTATATTACCTGACTATAAGGTTGAAAAGTGCCTTTCTGCTAACTAATTACTTATATTTAGTCCTTATTAATAGGGCTTACTTTGCAGAGTTTACCCAGATCCCAGTATCGATTTTATAGCATATTTCTAGTATTTATAGTATACTACTGTTTCTGACTTCAAACTCTCAATTCAGATAGTTCAATAGAACTATAACCTGACTCTGATACTCTAGAGTCTGCCTCCCAAGGTCTTTTTTCTTTAGTTTGAAACTTCTGGTAGTCTGGTTGGTGATACCCCTTATTTGAAGTTCTTACTCACCTGATTCCTTTCATATTAGCATCTGTTTCCTAGATTTAGCCTTTATAATAGTACTGTTAAAAATTATGCTATCTCTTTACTTAGGTCTTCTCAAGTGGGTTCTGGCTTTCCAGTTCATAAGTTTACATGATCATGAGGACTTATCTTAGATTTACATCATCTGATGCTGGTTTGCATTTCTCTGTGAAACTCTAATATTGCACAGATACCTTATAACCTGCCAGTTATTCTGGTATGACTGTGTTACAGGTATCTTATCCCAACTAATCAACAGAATGCTGTTACTATAATACTGTCTATATATCATATAGAAGATTATCCAAATTTTTGCTATCAGTGGGTTTTGAACTCATTATCTACCACTTGAGAAGTTGACAACTTATTCACTTTACTAAGTCATTACATCCCTTTTAGCACAATTTATATATTTATAAGTTAGTAATTAAATAACTAAATAATTAAATACCTAAGTAATTACTAAGTAATTAAGTGATTAAGTAACTAAACAATTATTAAATAACTAAATAACTAAGTAGTTAAGTAATTATTAATAATAATACAATAATAAAAATATATAATACTAAATAATAATAATATATTTATAAAATAATAATTTTTTTTTACTTTGTTAACCTTGTTATAAATCTTTAAAATTTTTATATATAATTTATATATATTTTAACTTAAGATTTCGGATTTGACATCTTTTAACTACTTCTATAAGTGCTCAAAAGCAGTCTGTTATACTGAATAAAGATTTTATTCTTGTTTAAGAGCTGTATCAGATTAGCTAACAAGACTATATATAAATAGTCTTAATTTATTACATATAAAATTTGTTATTGAGTCAAGTTATATTTTTTGAATTTTTTTATTTTTCTTCTTTTTTCTTTTCATTTGCCTTAACAAAAGCTTGGTTATTTTTTATTCTATTAGAATTTTCTTTATAATTAGTTAAATTTTTTTTTGCTACTAATTGTTCTCTAATAACCTTTTTCTATTTGTTAGTTTTTATATTAATTCTCATTACTTTTTTCTATAATATAAAAGTTTTACATGATTTTTTTTATATATTCTCATAAATCTATTTCAAACTATATTAATTATTACTATTAAGAATTATTTAATTTTTTTTTTGGTATTAAAGTGAGGTCTTGCTTATATCTTTATTAGTAATTTTAGTTGAACATATTAATATATTATATACTAAGATATATTATTAAAAATTATTTAGTTTCTTTGCTTAATTAAATTACTTTTTGTAAAAGTCTATAATCTTTTTTAATAAACTTTTAATTATTTTACATCTTGTTTAAAAATTTCTTCAATATATATATTTGAAAATATTTCTTTAAACTGAGTTTTCTTTACTTTTATTTAAATTTCTCTTAATAAATTTGATCATACAAGTTTTATTAAATTATTTTCTATAATTTTTTAACTATTTTTATAATATTTGTATAATGTTAAATAGTTTAAGTCTTCTTTATAGTTCTCTTTATAGAAGACACAAATTAGTTTTTTATAAAGATCAAAGCATTATTGTGCTAGTGCTTAGATTATTAGCAATCTTTCATTTAAGCATTTTATTAATATTCCTATTACTTATTTTTTTTATATCTATATACTTGTTTTTATTTTGATCTTTAATCTTCTTTCAAAAATATGACCAAGTATGAATTTTAAAATTTTTGTTTAATTTTATTTTTCTAATTGCTAAAATAAATCTTTATTTTATATTTGTTTTAAGATTTAAGTTTTTTTTTACAAATTGTCTGATTAGATATTCTATTATCTTTTTTTTTTAATAAAGTTCAATACTGGTTTCTTAAAAAGTTTCTATAACTATCCTATCTATATTATCTATTTTTGATCTTTTTTTTGCTAATTTGTTTGCTTTATTGTTCTATTTAGTTATGTTATAACTTTTTATCTTGACTAATTCTTCTTTTAATTCTTTATTTTTTATTTTTTATATCTTTGGCAGCCATAATGGTCACTATTCAGAAGTTTATTTATAACAGTTTAGTATAGACAATATATAAATATAACTTTATCTAATTTTTGTATTATTATTATATAGTTATCCTAATTAATACTTATGAGCTACATCAGACCTGCTAAAGTCTGCTTTACAATTGAACAGCATACCAATCTGATATTATTTGTTTATAAAAAGATAAAAACTTCTTGTTAAGAAAGAAATATATTAAAAAAATATATATAAGAGAAAAATATAAAAAAAACAACAAATATCAAAAAATAAAAAAGAAGAGAAGTGCTAATACAAGATTAGACAGACAGTTACAAATTGTAAAAACTGTATCAGTCTATTAAAAATTATATGTTAGTAAATATAGTAATTTTACTTTATCTCTATCTAATTAATATATTTAATACTAAAGCTTATATTTTAAAGAAAACAATTCAACCAAAACTAAACTGACAGAGAATTTTTTATATGTTAGACACTTCAACTCTTTGTTACTAAATTCATCTTAATATATGACTTATCATACTTTTTATCAGATCTTATATTTTAATACTTGTTATATTTTGATCAATTAACTCATCTTTGTCAAAAATCTTCAATCTCATCTTATTGTTATATTTTTTTCAAGGTACATGTACTCATATTTTATCTACAACACAGGTTTTTTTAAAATAAAACTAATAAACAATTCTGATTTAAAAAGATCAACAATGCTAATTTCAATAAAGATAAGCCAAATTGCCTACTTTTTGATAAAAATTACTTGAAAGAAAATTTTTTAGAACACTAACTATAATGACTGTAAGAGTTTATATTATATAGAATAGTATATCTA